CCCGAGCGGGCCGGGCGCCTCCTGAGGGGCTGAGCGCGGAGCTCCCCGTTCGTCACCTTAAACTGCGGCCAAGCCGCTCCAGCAGACGATCCGTATCCGGTTGCGCTGCGGCCGCTCCCACGGGCCGTCCGACTCCGCTCAGAGCTCCGTTTTCAGCTTCTCGTGCAAATCTTCCTGGTCGATCCTGTCGGCGTTGCCGTACCACCGGTGGTAAGCGAGCAGGGCGGCGTTTTTGGCGGCGATGGCGCTCATCTCCATGGCGCTGGCGGCCCGCTCGATGCCGTTCAGGTAGTAGATGTTGTCGTGGAGGATGACGGGAGGGCATTTTTCCGGCGGGCTGTAGTGGGGATACGCCAACCACTTCTTCACTTTGACGGAGTCGTAGGAGGAGAAAAGCAAGTTCAGCTGCTCCTTGGTGAGCGCTTCCTGGGAAAACACCTTCCAGACGGCCGACTGCCAGGGCGGCGTTCCTTCGCCGCCGCCGTCTTCCACCGGAGACACCACCCCCACGCTGTTGACGAAGAGTTTGGGGTTGTCCGTGGTGAAAATGGCACCGAAACGAAAGGCGGATGGATCCCGGTAACCGAAGAAGGAAGCGTTTAAGCGTCCGTGCACCAACGTCGTGACAGTCTGGTGGTAAGGATTTGGGAAATCCGGGATGGGAGGGTCGAAATTCCTGAAGGTGATGTTGGCCAGTTTGCGGCTCAGCGGAGCAGCGATCACCACGATGTCGTACGCATCCCCCGTCACTCCCGACGTAGTGTTGTAAGTGACCTGGTAGAGCTTCACCGGGTCCCCTGCGGAGAAGAACAGCTCGGTTATCCCACTCCATGGCTGGCGGGAATCCCCTCTGTCCCTCTGACACACTCTTAAAACCTCTCGTTTCAGCTAATTACGCTGACGGAGCTTTATAAACTTAGCCTGCTGCGAGCCGGGGCTTCCAGCAGCGCCCGGTTTCCACCCTAAAAGACGGGAGAAGACTCCGACTTCAGCCCGCCGCGAGCTGCCGCCGCCGAGCATTGCGGGCGGCCGGAGCGTGCCCTTCCCCTCCCCACCGAAGGGAAAGCCAACCCAACTCACCCGTGGGTCTGGGTCTGATTTTTGGCTCAATAAATAAAACTGTAGCAGGGATCACTTCAGCTTTGGAGGCGTAAAGGAGGCCGCTGCAGACGAGTTTGTTCCCCCCTTTTATTGACCAAAGGCCCGACTCTACTCCCGCCAGAGAAACGGCACCTACAAGGAAACCACCATCGGTGTCATCGGCGGGGGAGGATTTGAAACGGAAAAGTGGAAAAATTAGGGAGAAACACAACCTTTCCGGGGACGGCACATCCCTCCCGGGGACGGGGCCTGCCTGAGTGGGTTGCGTTAGCCAGCGATTCGTCGGAA